TTATTGCCTGCAGAGCAAAAGGATTCAAATTAGCAGGAGATCGCTTGGAGGATAAGGAGAACTCACCCATACCCGGCTCATCCAGCGTCTCAAATTCACCGTCAGCCCACGAATCGCTATTCCAATTGGCATTGTGCGTCGAATTATTCAAATGCGACGAAGGCGGGCTTATGTTATTGCAATTGGCAGTTGCCGACGTGGGCGACGTGTTGCTGCTGGATAGGGGCAGCTCCTTGGGCCGCAGCATGTTTTGCTGCTGGCCCTTCGACGGCGACGTGACATGGGAATTGAGCTTGGCCAGCGGTTCGATCAGCTCGTTCAGCTCGTGCTGCTGCAGCTGCTGTTGGTGAGGATGCTGGTGCGGCAGCAGCGGATGATGCTGCTGCTGCTGACTGGATGACGTTGTGGAGGATATCGATTGTCTTGCCAACAGCTGCTGCTGTTGGTGTTCCTGTTCCGCCTGCTCCTCCTCCTCGCACTGCCACGAAACGCCATCAGTGTCGAATAAACTATTGACATATTTTTGGACTTACCGGATCCTCTTCGAGGCTTCCCCATTCCTCATTGTCCCAGCCATCGCGCACCTCAATCAGCGCATTGGTGGCCACCAATGCTCCGCCATTGTTGGAGCTGGCTGCCAGCGGACTGCTGGGATCCTGAGAGGTCTGTAATTTAGTCGTAAACCCCATGAAAGTCGGTCTTTATGGTTTCCCCGCATCCTACTCACATCCATTTCTCCCCAATTTTCGTTGTCCCAATCGTTGTTGCCATAGTCGGAGGCCGAGGCGGACGTCTCATTGCTTTCATGCTCCAGCGAGGTCATGGAGGTAACACTACTTGTGGTGGTCGAAAGGCTGCTGCTCGAGGGTTGCTCTAAAGAAAAACACAATCGAATTAGATTTAGATAAAGACAAAGGCCAAGGGCCAAAGAGAGAGGTCAAACACTCACCAAGCGACGCTGGCTTGGATAGATTGCGTCCAGTTAAAGGCGGTCTTGGTCTAGATGAATCACTTTGGCTGCGATAGAACTTGGCGGTAACGGCCGTCACAGCCCATCCCGCCCAGGTGGCCGCAGCATTACCAATCGATGGGGTAGCCGTATGCACATCGGCCTCTGTAGAAATAAATATTTTAGCATTTCGTTCAGAGATTATTCCCGTTGCAATGCCTCACCCATCGTCTCACGCAAACTGGGATCCTCGGAGACCTTCTCCAGCTTGCCCAGGAATCCGCGTATGGTTTTAAACGCCGGATCGCGTACCGTCTTCTCCGGGTCAACAGTCAGCGAACACAGCGATGGCAAGACTCGATTGGCCACCTCGCTGAGCAAAAAGTACTGCTGTGTGGCGGCCAGCGCCAGGACGCCGGCCACACGGGCCGGCGGGAATGGATCACGCATGGCACGAATGAAGGCAGAGACGAGGACACGCTGACGCACCTGCGGATGCAAATGCGGCGCAATCTTGCCCAGGCACACGGTCGTATTGGTCCGGATGCCACCCTGATCATCGCGTGCCTGAAGACGCGCAAAATGCCGCAACACCTCCACATTGAGATTATTGTAATTCAGCTTGGGGGCCAAGTGAATGATCGATTTGACCGTCTGCTCGCGAATGGTGGCGTTTGTGTCCAGAAATCCATGAGCCACCTGTGGGAATATCTGATCGTTAACCACCTGTGGCTGCAGATGGGCTATGAACAGATCCAACTGCTGGAGCAAACGTGACCGAGTCACACGATCCGTCGAGGCAAACAGCTTGACGACGCACGGCACGATCCGCTTCTGATACTCAACCTCGTCCAAAAGTTTTCCTAGCTGCAAAAGGAATCATGAATACAGTGATTGATTGCCCTTAAAATCGAATAACCACAGACATACCTTGAACATGGGGGCCAGCACAGCGGAGCCCGCATCTCCATACTCGTACGAGTTTATCAGCTGTGGAAGTATCTTGTGCTTGCACACATTATCCGGGAAGTTGTCCAGGTGCGTGGTGAGGCCGCTAAAGAACCGATTCTTTTCCGCCTTGTCTTTGATTTGGATTTCCTCCAGAAAGAGCAACGTGTCGACCAGATCGTTCTTGAAGAAGCCGCCTGGCTTCCGACAACGGGTTATGATATCCGCCGGATTGGGGCGATTCGAAGGCGAGGCTCCGACCAGCTCACAGTAGAGCGACTGCAGGGATTTGGGTATGTGATCGATATCCTTGAGGTTCGAGCGCTGCTTAAGAACCCCATTAAAAGCCTCCCACACGAGGCAGCCCAGGCCCCACATGTCCACAGAACTGAGCGGGGAAAAACCACAAAGTTTAAGTAAATTACAAAGAAAGAGTTTTATCAGAGTTCTACCATTTGGTGGCCGCCTTGAGCTTGCTCTGATCATTCTTCTCGGGTGAGTCGTAGACCTCCAGCGTGACTGGGATCTTCACCGGCGGCATGGGGTTGCCATCGGCGGCGGAAACATACTCCAGGCTGCCCAGCTTCCACTCGCCCGAAGCGTTGACAAACACCGACCAGGCAGACACGTTGTTATGCCTCAGATTGCCATCGTTGTTGAGGAAGGACAGGGCACGCTGAAAGAGGATTAGTTGAATCAGTTGGAACATTTTCGGGGTGCCATCATAGGCTTACCGTGATCTGGAAGATGCCCCAGGCCAGGTAGAGGCCCTTCTGGACATTGTCTGTGGCCAGTTTGGTGAAATATGTGCCCAGTGGATCCACCGCCTCCGTGGCCACGTACAGCATCTTGTCCGTCTCCAGTGAGTCCAAGTACTGCAGTATGCTCGGGTGACGCAACGTTTTCAGCCGCTTCAATGCCGCCTTGGCCAGCTCGCATTTCGTGTCAGAGCCGCTGCGTATGTCATAGACAAAGACGGAGACCTCCTCGAGGGTACCTTTGCGTTTGGCCTTGTGCAGCGTCCATATGGAGTAGTTGTCGAAGCCACTGACTGGTTCACCAATGTCGTAGGGGAAGTCTTTGGAGGAGTCGCGCGAGAAGAACGACCACATCATGTGTTTTGCTCGACGGCTCAATATTTTGTTACTGTTGTGTCACCACCACCACGACGCAACGACGACGACGGCCCCAACAACACTGCGCACCCAGCACACACACTCAAACACTCTATTGCACACACACACACTCACGCAGCTGTTGCTGTTGATTATTGTTGAAGGCACCTAGTTGCACTTGTATTAAGCTGCACTTTTCGTTTGATTTTGCCAGCTGGTATAGTTTCTCGAATGCACTGAATGTGGGGCTTTATCTTTATCTCCGTCATACGTTGGCCAGCCCGCCTTGCAGCTTTGGACCTCTTTTTCCACCCGTTTGGTTTGTCTACGTCTGTCGTGTCGTCTCCTCTCCTGTGCGCAGCAACAATTTTCCAGCACACAGCACTCGTTGGTGGGGGGCCTTGTTATCCGCTCTGAGTTTTGTGTGGTTTCATTGTTCAAGTCGGAAGTCGAATAAGTGTCGAGCTTGGCTTTGGGGGGAGGAGGAAGTTAAATTAGGTTTCGTAAAATATTTCTAATCTTTTCCCGAGCACGTCAGCTTTTTCTCTTCTTCTTTGAACTATCGCAGCAGCCACCAGCTGATTGTCGCGGGTTACATTTTGGTATTGTATCGATAGGTGGTCTTTTACGCGATTATGGTGGTAGAAATTCCTTCATTTGAATATAGTTTTCTTGTCGTTTGCAAAATATCTCAAGAGGGAAATCACTTAACTGACAGATCAAAATATAACCATAAAACTTAACTTCAGCTGGCTTGTTATCAGAATATATATATAGATTATCGATATATTAATCGGTGTTATAACATCGTCGTCGCGCAGCCAACTTAACGCAAGTAATTTTTCGTCTGCCCATTTGCCGTGTGTAACTTTTTGCTAATTTTTCGAGCAGGGAATCTTCAAGAGCTCACAGGATGATGATGCAACGCACTACGCTTTTGCTGCCCATGGCCATTGAAGCCACCATGCTGGCCCAGCAGCAGCGTGGCATGGCCACTTTAAAGACCATTTCGATGCGTCTGAAATCCGTGAAGAACATTCAGAAAATTACGCAATCGATGAAGATGGTGTCCGCGGCCAAGTACGCCCGTGCCGAGCGTGATTTGAAGGCGGCGCGTCCCTACGGAATCGGTGCTCAGCAGTTTTTCGAAAAGACTGAGATCGTGCCCGATGAGAAGGCCGAGCCCAAGAAGCTCTTCATCGCCGTAACATCGGACCGTGGTCTGTGCGGTGCTGTTCACACTGGTGTGGCGCGTCTGATCCGTGGCGAGATGGCTACCGAACATGCCAACACCAAGATTTTCTGCGTGGGAGACAAGTCCCGTGCTATTCTGGCCCGTCTGTACGGCAAGAATATCCTGATGGTGGCCAACGAAATCGGCCGTCTGCCCCCCACTTTCCTGGATGCCTCGAAGATCGCCCATGAGGTCCTAAACACTGGCTACGAGTACACCGAGGGCAAGATCGTGTACAACAAGTTCAGGTCCGTTGTCTCGTACCAGTGCAGCACACTGCCCATCTACGGTGGCCCCACTGTCGAGAAGTCGGAGAAACTGGCCACTTACGACTCGCTCGACAGCGATGTCATCAAGAGCTACTTGGAGTTCTCGCTGGCCTCCCTCATCTTCTACACCATGAAGGAGGGTGCCTGCTCGGAGCAGTCCTCCCGTATGACGGCCATGGACAATGCTTCCAAGAACGCCGGTGAGATGATTGACAAACTTACTCTCACATTCAACCGCACCCGACAGGCTGTCATCACTCGCGAGCTGATTGAGATCATCTCTGGTGCTGCTGCCCTCACATAAGCTGTCCTGTCCTGATCCGGAAACTCCAGTTCGAACAGCTCCAACGATATATAAAGTAATTGCATATGATTCAGGGCGCCAGGAGCGACGCCTTGGATTACATTAATGTTAAAGTCATTCTGAATAACTCCCAGAATAAATAGCGTGGAACGAACGAACCTAACCTTTGGGCCCTGTTTTTGGATATCGGATTATTTCTTTTATTTCATTTTTTCCATTCATTTAGATATTCAGAAAACGATATCAATCAACCCTTTGTGCTTAGCAAACTATGGAATTAAGGCATATATGTCGGGGAGTTTCGTTGGGCTCCGTGGCCAGGATCTAGCACATATTCTGCAGTACATTGAGTATGTAGGCACCGATGTCCTCGTCCTGGTTGGTCCATGAAATCAGCAGGGTTTTCTGCTTGGGATCCTTGGCATCCTCCTCGACCTTCACCTCAACGGATTCAATGGTAATGGAACCATTTTCTTGCAGTGCCACCGTCCAGCCGACTAGTTTTTCCTCCAGCAGTGTCTTCAGTCGTTCGCTGGTAAGCCCCGTTGGACCGGGATCATCAATTTTCACCTTGGACGTGAAGCGCATAACATGCCGATTGATGCCGATCTCCTTGAGGGCATCTGTTAGATTTTGCAGCATTATTCGATTGTCCTTCATCACCAGTACGCCGTGGATGAGTCGTCGTCGCTTCGGATCCGGCGGCTGAGCGTTGTACGACCGAGCCTCGGCCTTTAGCAGGGAAACGGCAGCGTCTACGGGTATTCTAACGGGCGTGGAGATCACACAGGTCTCGCCATTGGCGGGCATGTAAGTTTCCAAATTGAACTCGTCCTTGATCTTCGATCGCAAAAACTTCATCTTCTCCGCCTCCCCATGGACGAGCATTACGTTCTTCGGCTCACAGTTTTGAATGAGCTGCATTATGCCTGCAATAAAGGGAAAACTTCTTTAGAGAAGCTCGTGGGAAAGTGAGTGAATGCTACAAACCTTTGGCATCGGCGTGCGCCGAAAAGCTCATGTACTCCACTGCCATTTTGACCTCAACCACCTGACGATTTTCGAACTCAACCTTCTTCGCACCGCCGAGGATCTTGTTGCCCACGGTGCCCTGGACACAATAGCCGGGCATGATGACCATGTTGTTCTCGTTGGGCGCCCACTTTTTGAATATTTGCAGCGAGAGGCCGGCATGCAACATGCCAGGAGTGGCAAACACAACCATAGCACCGGGGTTATCAATGTAAGCCTTATCGAATGGTTTTATGTGCTTGAAATCAAACATATTACGATGGACGAATGTCTTGCGAATCTTCTGGTTCGTCCATGTTATGAACATCTTGTAGTACGTGTTGGCCTTCTCGGTGAGGCCCAGGGCAAAGTAGATGGGATATTTGAGGTTCATGCGCTCCCAGTAGGTCTCCAGCAGTATGCACAGCTCCTGGGCCCGCCCCAGGGCAAAGACCGGTATCAACACTTTACCGCCACGCGCCACGCATTCGTGCACCTTCTTGAGGAAGTCGCGTTCACGACAGCGCTTCGAGTCGCGTATTGTGGTGGCATAGGTGCTTTCCGAGATGAGCAGATCGGGTCGGCACTTGTCGATCCAGGCAGCGCCCAGATGGCGATCCGGCGTCATGTTGTAGTCGCCGGTGTAGACGACGCTTTGGGAGCCAACCTTAATCCAGAACATGGCGGCGCCCAGCACGTGACCGGCATAGTAGGCCTTAATCTCCAGATCCGTGTCCACCATCATGCTCTGATGCAGGGTCACTGGAATGACCTTCTTCATGCAGTCCTTGATCATTTGCGTGGTGAAGAAGTTGGACTCGCCCTTCCGCTCCACGGCCACCTTTCGCATATCCTCAAGGAGGATCGGTGCAATCGCCTTGGTCGGATGTGTCATGTAAATGGGCCCGTTGTAGCCCACTATCTCCGACATGTAGGGCAAAGCGCCACAGTGATCTGAATACCCAACCATTGATAAGTACATACATTTAGGGGCAAACGATTAGACTCTCATTAAATTTCATCAGAGATAAGGAGCGTTGGGGGCCAAGGCGTGGTAGGTACTCACCCAGGTGGAAGTGGGAAATGATCACACAGTCGATGTGGCTGGTTATGGGTCCTTCGGGAACAATGTAAGAAAAGTCCGGGAATCGCCGCTCGTCATTGTAGCCCATATGCATGCCGCAGTCGAGCATTATATTTTTGCCGCCCATCGTCAGAAGCAGGCAACTGCGGCCCACATCCTGGCCGGCACCGAGTGGTGTTATTTTTATGTCCGGCATGCCAAGTGCAGGTCGCTCAACCGCCCGTTTCTGTTGCTCAACAATTAATTGTTTTAGCAATTAAAAATCGTAAAATTTTCCGTGCCAATTTGTAAACACAGCAAGCACCGATAAAATATACCGTCCGACTCTCAGAAATATACCAAAAGATCACTCATCCCATTTTAAAAATATACCGTAAATATACTGACGAATTCAAGTTCTATTTTACGTATTCTTTGTTTTTGATCTTCCGTTGAAAATTACAAGCTAAATAGAATACTTAGCCATACCCAGATACTTTTATACGATTGATGAATTGATTGGCTACTTGATTGGCTTTTTCTTAATACTTGCTTTTATTGGATTTCTATATAACGTTGAAAATGAAATAATGAAAATAACAGCAAGGGCGAAAAGATGAAGTTGCCACTCATCTGCAAAGTCACGCTTCTGGTGTTATTTAGAACTTTCCTGTGTCCACCGAGTGGCAGCACTGCACAGATTCTTATCAAGGGGGACGGCAGTTGTTGTTTTGAAAATTTAGGTTGGTAACAACATGCGATTATAAGACTCTCCGATCCATATGAATGCCTTTGCTCTCATCAAGGACAATACTCTAATGCAGTGGCCTTTTGGCAATTCCCGACGTGAAAAAGCGCTATCTGCATGTGTAGTTCGAGTTTAATTTGGAGCGTCTAGGGGCCGAAAGAATACATATGGGAGAATATGGGAAAATGAGGTCGCGGTGATGGCTGTCCCAAAATGTCGTTTCCGATCCATATGACGGATATTCGTGCACATCCGCAGCAATTAACATACCCCTTATTGACTGCGGAATATTTTTTGATGGGTAAATTGAGCAAGCAATTCAATGCAAAGCAAGATTGTTTTGAACTACTACTCCTCTCGTGTTTAAACATCTCGAGAAACGCCTGGAAGTGGGTGTCCTTATGCCCGTTGTTAAGTATGAGGAAAACAATTCCTCGATACATTGATGGGCTACAGAAACGTTAAAAGTAAAAAGACAAAGTCGAATAGAATTTTCATTATATTGTAACAAGGCAAGAAATTTCAAATTAAAGACGTTCTGTATTCATATACATATCAAAATAATAAAGAAAGCATTATAGCTTTGCTCAAAGAGTTGTTCAACAACAAAGTGATTTCATAAACATCAGGTTTTAAGAGTCATTTACTTGGTATTGTCGGCGGTAGCGATATTACCACTGCGGAATGCGCTAATTCAGCACTGCTCGATCTGGATCGTCCCCGCGGCAGGGATAATTTCATCCGAAATGATCGGTAGCGAGAAGGGCGGCAGAATTTGGTCCGACTTGGAGGTGACGGGTGTGCTGCTGGTGGATTGGATGGCCGGTGGCGAGGAAGACGGCAGAATTCGGTCCGACTTGGAGGTGACGGATGTGCTGCTGGTGGATTGGATGGCTGGATTGGAGGGGGATCTCTCGGCAAAGCTGTGGTCGTTGGAGCGCGGCGACTTCTTTTGAATTTTGCTGTCCCAGCATTTGATGGCACGTCGACGGGCATTGGCATTGATATTGTCCATCAAGGACTTACTGCGGCCCGAGTAGGGGAACAGTTTTGCCTCCGACGTGTCTCTCGGGAAAGGTATGTGGCGGCGCTCCTCCTGCGTCTGCTTCGACATCTCGCGATACGCCTCGATCTGCCTCAGCCGCTCTACACTGGAGTACGCTGCATTCGCCAGCTCCGACGCTGCATTTTTAGGTATTGTTTTAGCATGGGCTACGGTGGCGTTCATCATAATGTCACTGCGCGACTGCATCTGTGACTGAATGAAGATTTTCTCTTCCAGTGCCCGGGCATCGCTGGGGTCGGTGATGGTGCTGGCGGTGGTGATGCTGGCGCCATTTTTCTTCTTCTTAGTCCTTAAGTTCTTGACCATGTCTATCGATCGCTGCTTACGGAACTCACGGACCGGTGGATATATGTGCCCTATGGCGGATTCCACAAGGTTCACGCTGGCGGCTATAATTTGAATAAAATTGAGTCCAAAGAGAGCCAGAGAGACTGGAAACTCACCCATCACTGTTATGCTTCCCGTGGTAAAGATCTTCAGCGTGGCCTTTGGCATCTGCATCTTGTACGTGACACACCAATGCATCTCCGGTTCCTGTTTGGCATTCTCCGGATGCTTTTTCGAGAAGTTTACAATATTAATGTCCCAGGGCATCCTGCAAGTACCCAGAACAGTCTCTATGCGAAAATTCTGAAAGCGTGTCGGGAAACCGAGTTTCCACAAGCAACGGGCAAACCTCCTGGCCGCCACTTTGGCCTTCAAATGAGAATAGGAATGAGATTAGATTATATAGGTGATTTGCTTGCATGGCTTGCTGGGACACCTACCAGTATCTCAGATGTGGTGCCTGTGCAATTGATCCTACCGGATGACCAAATGAGGGCCGTCGCAGCGGGACGCCGCAGCTTCATGGTTAAATTTCGACTCCTGTGATATTTCACATTGAAGCCACGCTGCGCTATGTCACTCAAGTCGAGTTGGCATCCCACATTGAACGAGCACACCACATTTCTGATCAGAATGTTCAGCTTTGGATCGTCTGCCTCTGCTGCCGTTTTCTGGTGGCTGAGCAGCGCTAATGGCTCATCTGTGACAGGAGCGTCTGGCTCTGGTACTATCTCCGCTGCTGGTGTTTGTGCCTGTGCTTCTGCGTGCTCAGTAAACGGATCCAGCATTTGCTGCTGCTGGGGAAGGACAGCAGTGGAAATGCCGCCTTTGCTAAACTGCGAAAATCGCGCTTTTTGGCCACCAATCAGTTTGGCTATCGGTACGCTAATCATTGCGTTTTCCATTAGCGTCAAATATGAAGACGCTGTGGGGTACATCATCGACGTCAACGTGGTGCTGCTGTTGCTGTACTCGTGTGGATAGAGATGCATATCCTCCACTTCCTGGAGCCACTTTGTATTGGATTCATTTTGCTCCACGATTAGGTGTTCGAAGTCCGTCTTCAGCGCCACCAGTTGTTTCGCGGGCTTGGCCTCCCCATGATTCTTCCGGCCGAGTGCCGTTTGCCCCAGCTTCGGACGAAAGCTTTTTAGCTCCTGCAAATGCTCCTGCTGCCGAATTGCTGCCCCTGCGTCCCTCGGAACCATCTCTACTCGCTGGTCTTCAGACGTATTCCCCACCCAACGGTCTAGAAGCTTTGGTATCATTAGATGTTCTAGCGATTCAGCCGACTCGGCACACTCCTTTTCGCCGGGATCCCTTTTACTGTAGTTTATTACACTGCTCATTTTATTCTTATACGATCTTCTCAACTTGTTGCTCGTGATCTTTTATTTCCTTTATTAATGAAGCGTGGTTTCACGAATAAAAATGGCGCCACAACATGAAATTTTACAACGGCCGACATTTGGCAGGGTGTGTTACCACAACAAGGTGACGCACAAGCACTAGAAGATTTCTAGTATAAATACTGAAAATATTAGATAATAATACTCCAATATAATAAAAAGAGTATAAAAATGCAAGGTGTTTTACCTAGATAGGTTAAATATATTTTGGTCTGGCGAACATATTTTTGTGAACTACTTCTTTGTGTTTTGATCAAATTGACACTATTTTTCTGTTGTTTCGCGTATGGCCTAAAATTTTGATTATACAATTATTCAATACTATGACTCTAGATTTTACTAGACTCTGCACACCCTTGGGAAAAGAAAAGAAAACCTGAAAATCTTAAAGTCTCGGTTTTTGGAAATGGTCGTTTTTCCTGTGATCGGAATAGCATCCTTCATCCGACAAAGTCCTTATCTAGGATCAAGGATATTTTCTCCAGACATATATGTCCTGTTTTCTCGGATGGGACGTAAAGTTGTTCACCTGTTTAAATAGAGCGGGGTCAAGTGGCTTAAGTTCGTTGTTTTCCTAGGTATATTTTAAAAATGAGACGGTATGTTTTGGTATATTTCTGAGGGTCGGACGGTATATTTTATAGATAGGTCCGCGGTCACACTACATCCAAGACAAATTCTAAATTTTTGGACAAATTTTTGGATCGCAGCTCAAATGCCAAAGAAAATGGGTATCAACTCGAAGGCCGTGGAGGCGCGGGAGCGGAAGGAAAAGGAGCGTAAGGCGACCCAGGAAAAGAAGGCCAAGGACGCCGAAGATCGTCTGTGGCATGACGACGACAAAAGCCTGGCCAAGAAGCAGCAGCGCCGCGAGGAGGAGGAACGCAAGCGGGCCGAGGCGGCCAAGCGCAAGGCGGAGGCCAAGGCACTGCTGGACGAGGAGATGAGCTCCATCAGCACCCAGCGCAAGCAGCCGCTGGCCAAAATCAACCGCCAGCAGATACTGGAGGAGCTTGAGAAGAAGCAGAGAAACATCGATGCCATTAACGAGGCCAACAAGCCCGCCGCCACTCGCGTTGTGGTCCAGACGAACGTCGTGGAGGAGAACATCAATCGATCCCTCGCCGACACCGATGTAGCCAGCAACATTGACCAGGCGCTCGTTGTTCTCAGGTGAGTGTCATCGAAGGTATACATCTTTTATGAATATTCCTAATCTTTTGCCGTGCCATGTTCCAACAGTGTCAACGAGGGCGATGATGACAAGCATCCCGAGAAGCGAATGCGCGCCGCCTACAAAACCTTCGAAGCCAACAACCTGCCCCGCATCAAAGCCGAGAATCCCTCGCTCCGCATGTCTCAGTGGAAGCAGCTGCTGATGAAAGAGTGGAACAAGTCTCCCGACAATCCTTTCAACCAGGCGCGCTAGTGGTCTGGGGATCCCTGCCCCCACCCATCCATTGCGTACTCTAGTGAATCTGCTGCCGAGCAGCTAGTCAACCTTTGATTCAACGCAAAATTTAATTTATACACAAGCTAAAAGTCAGAATAAACTAATATAATTTATTAAAATCAAGTGTAGGGGCTCCCGATGCAACTTCTGTCCCGAGTAAACTGATTTTAAGATCTCGTTCCTTATGCAATAAGTCAACAAAAATGTACCACAACAAGCTGCGAAAACATACCTAGTATAGGAGTAGAGTAGTATGTATATTTAGACAGCTTTCCTTTGCTTATTTAATGACCAATTTTATTGGCCACCTCGACGGAACTTTGTGGCCCTGATCCGATTCCGGTTCCACGTTCGCCCTGTTGTGCTTATGAATGAAGTAATTACATCTATTGCTTTGATTGCTGCTATACGCGGCTCCAACTGTTGTCATTCCAACTTTTTACCCATCACTTTTTTGTGTGCTGTATGGTGCAAAATAGAGAGAATAATAAGTGCTGTGCTTCCGCTTTCACTGCCCTGCCGTCTACTTGGAAGTTTGTTGGCGTTTGGTGAACCACGAACACACAAACGTACTTTGGGGCGTAAGGCAAGACATCTCTCCGAATAAATGTACGTAACATCAGCGACTTAAGTATGTGCTTAGCGTCATTATGTGCATGTTTTTGCGCATTAAAATTGGTTTTATATAAGTCCTCTTGATATTAGGTCTTAATTGAGCGATTTTCCAAAATATAAAGTTGCCTTAATTACTATTTTCTGGCCAACTTTCATTTGAAACCCAAATATTGAACGGACAACCCGGGCATCAGAGAAGATGGAAAATCGCACCAGATCTTTACCTTTCCGCTTGTCGAGAAATGCTGAAGAAGAGACATTTGGAAAGGTGCTGAATGCGTCTTTTGTTGGGATGGATATGGATGAAATGCTCCTGCGGGAGTTCTGATGTCTGATGGTATATCATATACGTAATATTCGCACTGGCATATTGGGTAATGCTGATGCTGGTGGGGTTTCCAGCTTAAATCTCTTATCATTACCCCACACATCGTTCACTTTTTAACGGTTGGTGTTAGCGGATCTATTACACATTCCATTCCATTCCATTCACTCGGAAGCGCCTCGTAATTTCCCCAGACTGCATTCGACAATTAAAATGTTCCACTGCAGTAGATTCGAATCTTAACAGTGGCTCTGTGCCGCTGTTAACCGTTTCCAACCGCTCCTAACGTCAGCTGGCGCTTGGTTTTGCTGTTGGCTGGCATTGCCTCCGGGGGCTGTGCTTTCTTTTTAATAAAAAATTTCTTTTGTCGTGGCGCAACTTCATTCAAACCGAGACCGTCGAAGGCAGCGGACGCGTCGTGGAACTCCAACAGAGACATCCATCTTTGAGCAAACGAACGAGCGCGAGAGAAATGTAAATGCAAGAAATACCCGTACCATATTGAACCCCAGCTTTGTGAGTGTGTTGTTTCGGAGCTGAGAGAAAAGAAAAGTGCGAGACGTGTTTGGGAAAATCGAATTGAAAATCAACGGAAATCGCAAAAGAAAAAACGGTAATCGTGCGTCTCTCTCTGTCTCTATATCTGTCTTGTTTGTGTCTGTGTGAACTTTATTGTTTGTTCAAACAAAAGTTCTTCTGTGGAATAATACGAGTACCATCCAATAATAAGGATATCTATAGCTGGTCAGCGAGAAGACGGGTAAGCCGGGAGAGAGAGAGCCCTCACTTATAGAAGAGCCCTCTGTCTTGTGGGTTAAGCGGTTAGCAATGCGTACTGCCTTTACAGTTAGAGCTAATTAGCATACTTCCCCATCCAATGGTCACCAATGTGGAAATCAGGGCAAGCGGCCCACACTGCACTGCAGAGACACTGCCACTGGCCAAGTTTGTGCCTCAAGTCTTTTGTTGCAACCTGTGCTGTGTGGCAGCCCTTTTTGCCGGCAGACCAGCAAAAAGTTGCTCAGTTTTTAGTGCGAGCATAATTACGAGACTCTTCCTAGTCTGTCCAGATCTCTCGGTGTGGCTTACTTTTCTCTTCATCAAATTTGGTTGACCCACAAATCGTGGACTACATGTTAATTGGTGTTTATTTCCTCTCTCTCTCTCTCGCGGATAGCATTCCCCATTCTTTTGGCCAAAAACATTATCGTACAAGGTTCATTGACCATCGATGTCCGTGCGAGTGGTACGAGCTGTTATGTAAATGCACCGAAAACATTATTAGATGTTGGATTCTGGTAATTAATTCATACATTGCTTTGCATGAGATTCGATGGGTTGCGTGTTGACGGCTGACTGGCGGCGTTATGCATTCGAAGGCTGGAGATTATTCAATCCGCAGAGCAAGAGCTAACGAGATTAATTGGCAGTTGGCCGTTAGATAATTTATTAGTTTCCCAATAGGTCGGCGGAGCTCGCTCCCAATAGGCCGGCCGGGGCCGGTAAGGAGACCACTGTCCGGCGTCTGATTTATAGCCATCGCCAGCGACCCAAATTGGCAAATTGTTAGCAAAGAAACAGAAACAAAAACAGAAACAGTAGAGAACTTGGAGCAGAACTTGGAGCCAACCCATTTATTTGATGGCACGCGCGGGCGCTGCTCCGCTATTGCAATTGCATTAACAACAGCTCAGCCGACTGAGCCAAAAAGCCAAGTGACCATAAAAGAGCTCTTTAATGCTTGTAACGCAGCAGCAGCGGCAGCGGCAGCGGCAATAACGGTTTGCTGTGGGCCTGGCCTAAACCGAATTTCCAACAAGATCTGAGTGATGTACGCAGGCCATATACGGCGGGTGGCTGGAATGCCTCTGGTGCCATCCTTGGCTGGTAGGAAGTCACACTCTGGCTCCAAAAACGTACTGACAGCCTTGAAAGATTTATTGGCTGCACCAGAGGATGGATCGCAGAGCGGCAGGCGATTCTTCAAATGGTGCAACCCATCCCCATCGAGTCAATCATCGCTCGGCTATCGGTTATCTCCGTTATCCGTATCTTGGCTGGCCAAATCTGAGCAATCATTTTCGAGGTGCCTGTGCCCGGCACTTTCCTTTTTATTTGAGTCGTGTCCAGAGGCTCGTGCCTGTCTGTCCGACCGTCTCTGCAATTTTCTTGCCATTTAGCTGTTTGTTGCACGAGTGTGTATATTTTTTGGCCAACGGCTGTTTGCTTTGGCCAACTTCAACTCCAGCTTTAACGGCGCTGGCCACGGCTGTCATTCAACGCTGGTTCGCTTTTTCCACCAATCCATCAGCAGTTTCCATTTGATTTTCTGCGGACAGTGCGAGTACTTTAATAATAGCCGCGATTTCTTTCTAAATCCCATATCGTATGCGTCAATGTCTAATGCATAATTTTTTCTCGCTTTATGCCATAAGTGGCTGAAAATTTTCGACTCATTAAAACTAACAAAATGAAAATGCAACGAAAATTCCACTCCACGCGACTTGAACTTCACACTCTGCCGCGGAGGCAGTCAGAAATTTCACC